CCCATTTCAGAGTGACAGAAGAAGCATCTGCTCTGTGATAATATTGGGGGACCTGATCACATCTCTCAGCATTGGACAGATCATCTAGGCAGCAAGTTAACAGAGTAACCATTGTTCTTTTAGAAGGAGAGAAGAAATCTAGGGCAATTAGAAGGGGGAGGGGGAAGGAATGGGGAAAGGGGAGAGATTAGACAAGAGGCATAAAGAATAATTACTATTTGTAACAATATATATGCTAGTAATATTGATTTAATCAACATATCTCAATGTTCAACTCCCAAAATATGTATAATCGATTTTGATTCAATAAATAAAATACATTTAAATAAAAATAAAATAAAATAAAAATTTTAAAGTAATACCTAGCTGGGATGGGGGACGACAATGAGAGGAACATCAGGTCTGGGAGTCAGAATACCTGAATTTGCCCCCAGCCTTTGTGCTTAATTTATCCTGGAGCACAGATAGCTAGTGCTCCCCAACACTTGTTTTCTCCTTCTTCCCTAGTATTAGGACCCCTGAATTTTTATCTGGGCACATGCCCACCTAGAATAAAAATTACATCGCCCAGCCTTCCTTGCAACCTCAAGGAAGGGGCCTGCCCTTATTTTGTCCCTTCCTCTTTCCTGATGACAGGAATGCTGCCATTATGAATGGAGCTCCAGCAGCAATCTTGGGCCATGAGGTAATCCTGGGAACAGATGCTACAAAGGAAGGAGAAAACAAGATAGAAATAGAATCTTTCCACCTCAAACTATTTATTTCTTTCTTGACTTCCATTTTGCTCTAGATTCTGTTCCTTACAGTTAAAACCTAATCTAAGTGATGTTTCAATCTCAAAAATTGTGCATTGGGAATGATTCATTCATACATCTTTGACTTCAGTTGGGAATGATTCATTCATGCATCATTGACTTCACAGGATTGCTATGAGACTCCAATGAAGTAATAGATGTAAATAGGATTTGAAATGTGCATCAGGTATTATGCAAGTATAAGGTATATTAATTAATCTACTAATAAATCCAAATATGGTTTTTAGGTATTTCCATGCAGTTTGGAAAGTTGGTATTTTTTCATTACAAGATAATATACAAGGGTACTTCAAAACATTCATGGAAAGATTCATATTTATCTTTTAATTCTATTTTCCACACACTTTTTAAAGTACTCTCATATTAACACCACTTCTATATCTCAAATAAAAGCAATTCACAAGAAAGTTCTTTTCTGGCTCCAAGTGATCTCATATCTGGCTCAAGCCCTTTGCAAACAATAAAGATAAATAATATTGACATCACTTTGATATCTTTTATCAATTCAGCAGCTATCGAACACCTACCATCTGTCACGCACCACATCAGGTGCAAAAGCAGAACAATTCTCCTAAAATCAATTCATCAACTAGAGGTCGCCAGGTGACCAAATTACCAACAGTCAATTCACAGGATTAATGAATTCAACAATTTTGCTATTAGGCAAGTGACCAATTCACTGAATTATTAATTCACCAAAGACATGCTTCCACTTCCAATCTTGGCTACTGCTTTTCCTCTTAATTAAGAAACTCTGAGAAGTCTGAATTTTAAAACACACACTGATAGAGTTTAGACATGTTGTCCCCCCCAAAACTCATGTGAAATCTGATCCCCAACGTGGTAATGATGGGAGCTGTTGGAGTCATGGAGGTGGATCCCTCATGAATGGATTAATGCTCTGGGAGTGCAGGGTGTTGGGGGGTGGGTAGTAAGTTTTTACTCTATTAGTTCTCATGAGAGCTGGTTCCCACGAGACCCTGGTACCTCCCCTCTCTCTCTTTCTTGCTTCCTCTTGCCATGTGATCTGCTTGTACCAGCCAACTGCCTGCCATTTTCCTCCATGAGTAGAAGCAGTCTGAGTCCCACACCACATAAAGTTGTCCCAGAATCATGAGCCAAATAAAACTCTTTTCTTTATAAATTACCCACTTTCAGGTATTGTTATAGCAACACAAAATGGACTAATACACACAATCGATGTTCAAGGAACCTAGATCAACAAGTCCATAAAATACATTGTATATTGATAAATTAAAATAAATACAAAATAAGTAAATAAAAATAAACAAATTTTTTCTTAAAAGTCCATAAATTATAAAAGAGCAATTGAGTTACACTAACTTGGCAGAAATTTACAAACATAATTTTCAGACAGTTCTAATCAAGGGCAAAACCTTCAAGGCAGGAAAAAGGATATGTCAATGCCCATGCTCAGCAAAATCATTATAAAGAGCTATGAGGTAAACATACAGATAAATATTAACCATTTTTAACCCAATCCACTGACTTTTCTCCTCTCCTTTGATATACATACTTTCATTCAATGCTAATGAGTTTGTGCTACAAACAACTTACAAATCCTGAGCAGCATGCATAAAATGAACAGCATTCATTCTCCTGTTCATGAGTCTGCAGGTTGGCTGGGGCAGCTCTGCCTCAGGCTGCAGTTCAGTGGGTCAGCAGGAGAAGTTCTGCCTCACGTGTGCGCATTCTGCAGCTGAGGCTGTGGGGCAGCCGCTACCCATCATTTCAGGATAGTGGCAGAGACACAAGAGGGCAAACAGGAATAAATGAGGCCTCTTAAGTTCTAGGCTCTAAGTGGCACATAGTTACCCACATTGCATTAGCCTTAGCAAGTCTTATTGGCTGAGCCCAAAGTCAGCAGATGGAAAAGTATATTTCATCTTTGTGAGCAGAACTGCAAAGTCACATGAACAAGGGCACAGATACAAGGAGCAAAAAGCTGGGGCTGACATTCAATCTGACACAAGTAAGCTTGATTAATACATGTGAGGGCATACTCAGGTATGTTTCCTCATCTATTACCTGTACCTATGTCCCTTTCTTGAGAAAACAAACCCAGAAATGAAGAGAAATAGGAAACACAATTGATTAGATAGAAAGCTCATTGGAAGAGAGAAACCAACAGACATAAAGTCCTTGATATTCATTATTTCAAAGAAAACTGAAATTTAAAATATAGAAATTGCCCTCCCCCAAATATATAGCTCATTGCAGGCCTCAGCAAAACGTAAGTGCTATAAATTTTATAAAACATGTTTCTGATGAATCAAAAGTTCAGCATGTTAGCAATGTGGTAATTCACTTAAATTAGCAAATTGCTATTTGGCCAATTTATTTGCAGTGAATTGGCCCAGAACCTCAGGTACAGGGATATACATATGCAAACAAGACCCATACCCTGCCTTCAAGGGCACTAAGGATAGTTTGGCTCTTGTTCACAAAAGCGCTCCCATACCAGGAGCCCACCCCCCATATCCTCCAGATGGAGATTAAAGCAGGGTCCACTGTCAGGAAAACTGTGGCATTAAGGGAAATGGTTCTTGTGCTTAGCCCCAAATGTCCATGCCAAGGAAACTGAACCACAGAGAGCTTTAGTCTCTTGCCTGATGTTGTGCAGTCACTAAGTAGCGGAGTTGGGGTTCAGTAAGTTAGTCTGGCACCACAGTCAAATCCCTTAACCACCTCACTATGTCCAGAAGCACTACTCTCCAAGAAACTGCCTCCACCAGAACTCCCTGTACAGCCCCTCCTTCCCTAGTGACAGAATTCTGACGTTGTTCAAGCAGCAATGTGCCCAGCCCAGGAGGAAAACTGCCTGACCTGAGCCAATCATATAATCTCATTCTCCTTTACCAATACCCACTTTCCCAACCTCCTTTTCATCTATGGGTAGACACTATGACCTAGTTATCGCCAATAAGAATAAAAATAAGAGGAATTGAGCTGGGAAGTTTTGAGGAAATATTTCTCAAAATAAAAGTGAGCCTCTCCCACTCCTCATGAAGATCTGATGCCTAGAGCTGCTGCCATACTGCTTCTTGCAACCGTGAGAGGCTGCCTCGAGAACTGAAGAGGAACCATGTGCTGGCATCCTAGGATTAGCAAAACAGCCCCAGAACTACTAGTTTCCAAACTTCTCCTTGAATAAGCAATAAATGTTATTATGCCTTAAACCAAGGATGGGCAAACCTTTTCAATAAAGGGTTAGAGAGTGAATATTTTAGGCTTTGCAGACCATGCAGTCTGTCACAGGTACTCAACTCTGCCATTGTATCATGGAAGCAGATTTAGATAACATGTAAAACGTGGGCATGGCTGCATTCCAACAAAACTCTATTTATGGACACTAAAATTTGAATTTTGTGTAACTTGTGTGTGTCACAAAATATTATTCTTCTGATTTCTTTCAACCACTTAAACATGTAAAAACCATTCGTAACTTATAGTCCCTATGAAAACAGTGAGCTGGGTTTGCCTTAGGCCGTTATTCAACAGACTGTATCATACTTATAACCAAATGTATTCCTAACTGCACCACTCTCCTTACCTCAGTGCTCAGATAACTATCTAAAAAGACAAGGGTCTTATAAAATTATTCAGATTATGATTCAAAGGTTAATAATAATAGCTTATATTTCACCTCCCAGAGACATTGACATTCTAATAATGTCTTTCTCTCTCATGAACAAAAGCTCCTACCATGGAATTTCAAGCATTAGAATCAGGTTAATGAGTTGGGGGGCAACAAATAAAGTAGAAAAGCCTTCCTGGGACTCCCTGAAGGTTACACTAACAAGGAAGGACAAAGCAAAAAATGAACTTTTGTCTCCAAATGCCATTATCTTTCCACATATCATTTGCTAACACCAAGAGGTGAAGTGAATAAATCCAAGGTCACACAGCTGATGAGTGACAGGGTGGGGATTTCAGTCTGGGTGATCCATCCCTAAAGTCTGCACACTGCACTACGGACTGTGGAAGAAGATAAGGACAGTAGCTCAGTTTTCTACATTCTCCAAAATACTAGCAGCTGTGAGAGAACTTGAACTGATACCATGGAGTATAAGCAGTTCATCTAAAATACAACAAAACATAAATAGGTTAACTTTTTCATACTACTACCCTGTTCATGCTCATTGTTTTTTTATGTTTTTATTTTTATTCCACCCCTGAGTTAACTTTCTTGCCCCATAACCTCCTCATGGCGATTTTCACCTCTGCATTTCTGAGTATATAGATGATGGGGTTCAGCATGGGGGTGATGACCGTGTAGAACACAGCCACAAGTTTGTCCTCAGTGAAGGTGGACGAAGGCCGCATGTAGAGGAAAATGGCAGGTCCAAAGAACAAGATGACCACCGTGATGTGAGAGGCACAGGTAGAGAGGGCTTTGCATCTCCCCTCTGCAGAATGGTTCCTCAGGTTAACCAGGATGACAATATAGGAGGACACCAAGATGAGGAAGGAGAACACAGAGATTAACCCACTGTTGGCCAACACAATAACTCCCTCCACAAAGGTGTCGATGCAGGCCATCTTGAGTAAGGGATGGAGGTCACAGAAGTAGTGGTCAATCACATTGGGACCACAGAACGGCAACTGGACAGTGACAAGGATCTGAACCATAGAGTGAATTATGCCTCCCAGCCAAGAACCAGCCACCAGAAGATGACACACAGGCCGGCTCATGATGGCTGTGTAGTAAAGGGGTTTGCAGATGGCCACATAGCGGTCATAGGCCATCACTGTGAGCAGGAGGATCTCAGTGACCACAAAGAAGTGGAAGAAAAATATCTGAGCCAAACAGCCCTCCAGGGTGATGGTTTTAATTTTGGCAAGTAGGTCTGTGATGAATTTAGGGACAACAGTAGAGGAGTAACTGACCTCCACCAAGGACAGGCAGCTGAGGAAAAAGTACATGGGGGAATTCAGACTGTCACTGATGCCGACCGTCAGAACGATGAGGCCATTGCCCACCACCGTGGCCAGGTACACAGGAAGAAAGACCACAAAGCACACTCTCTGAACCCCTTGATCCTGGAAAAGGCCAGTGAGAATTAACTCAGTCACATTATTTTTACTGGCCATTGATTCAGTTCGGCTATGCTGGATGCCAGGCAGTGAAGGCCCTATAATAAACAAACAATAATTATAACCCCAATTCACCTCATTTATAGCACTTTAGAGAGTGCAGACCACTTTGCAATACAATTATTACCCAATCATTCAGTTAGCCAAATGTACTCATTCAGCATTAAATACTAGTATGCTAACAGCTTATTTTATTTTAATTTATTTAATTTTATTATTAGAACATTAAGGCTCAGAGAAATGGTCATTTGCCCATGATCACACAGAACGTGGTGAATTCTGGGACTCAGAACCAGTTTTTGACTTTCAATCCGGGGTTCTTTCTAGTTCACCACAAGATAACTGAGTTTGGGGAGCTGTTCGAGTTAATAGTCTATATTTTTTTATTTTCATTGCATTTTGATCGCTGTCTCCTACGGGGTAGCCCCCATGACACATTTCTGCTCCTATATTCCTTGTTTCCTTCATCTATGCCTCAGAAAATTATCTTCTCACTGATAATTCCCCCCATTCTAAAAGGTCCTCTGTCCTATTTACTCACTTATACCAGTCCTCAGTTTACTCAGGTCAGATTTCCTTATCAGTCTTGCAGCTTCGATAGGTGTGTTTATATGACAAATGCTCAAATGTTTACCATATGCCACATACTTTATAAGTGCTCTGTATCCATTAATTCATCTAATTCTCACAAATCGGTGACGTGGGTATAATTATTATTACCTTTTTTTACATATGAGGAAAAAGAAACAGAGAAGTAAATTAACTTGCCTAAGGTTACACAGCAGTGGAGTCGGGAATTGCAATCAGGCAGCCTANTTAAACATGTAAAAACCATTCGTAACTTATAGTCCCTATGAAAACAGTGAGCTGGGTTTGCTTTAAGCCGTTATTCAACAGATTGTATCATACTTATAACTGTATGTATTCCTAACTGCACCACTCTCCTTACCTCAGTGCTCAGATAATAACTGTCTAGAAAGACAAGGGTCTTATAAAATTATTCAGATTATGATTCAATGGTTAATAATAATAGCTTATATTTCTCCTCCCAGAGACATTGACATTCTAATAATGTCTTTCTCTCTCATGAGCAAAAGCTCCTACCATGGAATTTCAAGCATTAGAATCAGGTTAATGAGTTGGGGGCACTAAATAAAGTAGAAAAGCCTTCCTGGCACTCCCTGAAGGTTACACTAACAAGGAAGGACAAAGCAAAACATGAACTTTTGTCTCCAAGTGCCATTATCTTTCCACATATCATTTGCTAACACCAAGAGATGAAGTGAATAAATCCAAGGTCACACAGCTGATGAGTGAGAGGGTGGGGATTTCAGTCTGGGTGATCCATCCCTAAAGTCTGCACACTGCCCTACGGACTGCGGAAGAAGATAAGGACAGTAGCTCAGTTTTCTACATTCTCCAAAATACTAACAGCTGTGAGAGAACTTGAACTGATACCATGGAGTATAAGCAGTTCATCTAAAATACAACAAAACATAAATAGGTTAACTTTATCATACTACTACCCTGTTCACGCTCATTTTTTTTTTTATGTTTTTATTTTTATTCCACCCCTGAGTTCACTTTCTTGCCCCATAACCTCCTCATGGCGATTTTCACCTCTACATTTCTGAGTGTATAGATGATGGGGTTCAGCATGGGGGTGATGACCGTGTAGAACACAGC